AAAGATTAGAAAAAAATAAAGACTAAAAAAGCAACAGAAAAAATCAGTAAAGCTAAGACTTTTTTCCAAGAGGTAAACAAATACACAAAACAGTGAATAAAATTGTAAAAGTAGGATACAAAGTATCTTAAGAGGCTACTAGGAATAGTAACATAAAAACAAATTGAATAACCTAGATGCAATGAATAAATTACTAGAAACATACAACCTTCCAGTATGGAATAATGGAGAAAGATAAAATCTGAACAGACCATAATAACTAAGAAGTTGAAGTAGTAATCAAAAACTTACCAAAAAAAGAAAAGCCTATCATCAGACAATTTCACTAGTGGATTCTACCAAACACTTAAAGAATTAACGGCACACCTTCCTAAATTCTTCCAAAAATATAAGAGGAGGGAATAATACCAAACTCAATTTACAAGGCCTGCATTACAATGATACCAAATTTAGATAAGGACACTACAAGAAAAGAAAATTAGAGGCCAATATATCTGATGAATACAGATTCAAAAATTCTCAACAAAATACTAGTAAACCAAATACAACAGCACACTAAAACAAATCATACGCTATAATCAATTTGAATTTACTCTTGGGATGCATGAATAGTTCAATATATGCAACTTAACAGGTATGATATACTACATAAATCAAAGGCTAAAATCATATGATCATCATAATAGATGAAGAAAAAAATGCATTTCACAAGATTCAAGAAACTTTAGTGAGAAAAGCTCTCAACAAATTATATATAGAAGGAACATACCACAATATAATAAAAGCCGTATATGACAAATCAATAGCTAATAAAATACTCAAGAGTAAAAGAGTAAAAGCTTTTCCCTTTTTCTCTAAGATCAAGAACAAGGGTATGCTCTTTTTTTTATCACTTGTTATTAACCATACTACTGGAAGTTCTGCACCCAAAAATTAGGCAACAGAAAGAAATAATAAGTATCCAAATTAGACAGAAAGATGTAAAATTGTCTCTGTTTGAAGATGAGATTATGTTATGTGTAGTAAACCTAATGACTCCACCAAAAAACTACTAGAACTAAAAATCAAATTCAGTAAAGTTGACGAATACAAAGTCAACATACAAGAATCAGTTGCATTTTTTTTTTTTTTTTTTTACAATAGCAATGAACCATCTGAAAGAGAAAGAAAAAAATCACATTTAAGGTAGCACCAAAAAAATACTTAGGAATAATTTAACCAAGGAAGTGAAGTATCAGTACAATGAAAACTATTGTATATAAGACATGAATGAAAAAAATTGAAGACAGCACAGATAAATGGAAAAATATCCTGTGTCCACAGACTGGAATAATTAATATTGTTGAAATGTCCATACTACACAAAGCCATCTATAGAGTTAATGTAATTAATCCCTATTAAAATTCCAATGGTATTTTTCGCAGACATAGAAAGGTCTTTAAAATCACAGAATTTATATGGAATGCTAAAATTCATACAGAATCACAAAAGATCATGAATAGTCCAAGTAATCTTGAGAAAGAATAACAAAGGTGGAAACATCACACTTCTTTGTTTCAAACTATATTACAAAGCTACAGTAGCCAAAACAATATAATACTGGCATAAAACAAACATATAAACCAGTGAAATAGAATCAACCCCCCAGAAATATACCCAGGTATATATATCAACTAATATTTCACAAAAGAGACAAGAATACTCAATGGGGAAAAGGCAATCTCTTCATTAAATGGCATGGGAAAACTGAATATTTACATGCAACAGAATGAAATGGAGCCACTCATAAAAACTGGCTCAAAATGACTTAAACACTTAAATGTAAGACCTAAAACTAAAATTCCTGGGAGAAAACAGATGAAAAGCTCCTTGACACTGGTCTTGGCAATGATTTATTTGGAGATGATACTTAAAGCATAAGTAACAAAAGCAAAAATAAACAACTGAAATCTTATTAAATTAAAAGGCTAGTGCAAGCAAATAATCAGTAACAATCCATAAAATGAAAAGGCAACCTATGAAATGGGAGAAAATATTAGTAAACCATATATCTGATAAGAGGTTAATAGCCAAAATATAGAGGTATCTCATATAACACTATAGGAAAAATAATAATAATTATTATTTTTAAAATTACACAGATGGGACTCAGGAAACCTCAATTCTAGTTCCACTCCTACCACTTAATAAGCTTGTTACTTTGGGCCAATCATTTTTCTTCACTTGGCCATTCAAATTAGGAATAATAATATTCATTCTGTTTTCCTTACTGAGATTTAGTAATAATCAAATAAAACATACGCATAAAAGTGTTGCCAAACTTAAAAAATGGGAAAGGATCTGAACAGACATTTTTCCTAAGACACACAAATGGCCAACAAGTATATGAAAAGATGCTCAGCATCACTTATCATCAGAGAAATGCAAATCAAAACCACAAAGAGATATCACCTGTTAGAATGATTATTGTCAAATAGATAAAGAAAGAGCAAGTGTTAGCAGGGATGTGGAGAAGAGGGAACCCTAGGGTACTGGTAGTAGTAACATAGATTGGTATAGCCACTGTAGAAAACAGTACAGGGTTTCTTAAAATATTAAAAACAGAACTACCATTTCTTTTTAGTCCCCATTTTTTTCCTAACCAAAATTCAGCTGTTTCAGACCATTATTCCCCTATGGTAAAATGAAATCTAGCTGCTGTCAGATATATTATGACTTTAGTATTCAGTAGTTTGAACATGCATTTCTTTGGGTTTACCCTGTTTAAGTGTGTTCAGTTTTTGAATCTGTAGACTTACGTATTTCAGTAAATTTCAGAAGTTTTCAGCTATCATGGTAATTATAGAGAAAGTCCATTAGCAAGAACAACAAAGAATATTACACTTATGAATAAATCTAACAAGAATTATATGAAGCCTATAGAAGAAAAATGTTAAAACACTCCTGAAAGACACAAAAGTAGTCTTGAAAAAATGTAAAGACATCCCCTATCCTTAAATTGATTCAACATTCTAAAGACGTAGTTCTCTCTAAATTTATAAATTCACGCAATCTCAATATGAATACCAACAGGCTATTTTATGGACCTACAAAATTTAATACTAACTTCCACATGGAAAAATAAACATACAAGAGTAGCCAAGAGCACACTGACAAAGAAAAATTACAAGGTGAGACAAGGTGTAACAATTTTTAAAATATTTCTATAAAACCTGTATAATTAAAAATGTCCTATTAGCACATGTGGAGACAAATTAACCACTGGTATAGAATACAAAATCAGAAATCTACCCTAATGCTAATGCAGTATATGATAAAGGAGGTATCAGAAATCATTAGGGAAAGAATAGAATTTTTAATAAATAGTGATGTGTAATTGGGTAGTCATTTGAGAAAAGATTACATCCATAGCTCACACAGTAACAAAAATAATCTACAGATGGATTAGGGATCTAAATGTCAAAATTAAAACCCATGCAAGTATTAGAAGGCAAGATTGAGTGATTTCCTCTCTAAATTTGGTATAAGGAAGAGTCTTTCTAACTGTGATTCAAAATCCAAAGGCAATAAATGATTAATGTATTTGACTATGCTAAGATAAAAAACAAGCCAAAAGATAACTGACATACTGCAACAATATATTATTAACATATACTCAAAGGACTAATATCCCTAATATATAGGATCAAAATAGACATTTTTTGAACATAGGCTCAAAAACCTGATTTAAAAAATGGAGAAGGAACATGACGGAGTTCCTATCACTAGTACAATGTGAGTGATAAAAATAGTGGTATTACTGCAAATGATCCTAAATATGAAATTTAAATATACATTGGTGTATATATATATACACACACATTAAAAATTGAATAAATATATATTGATAAAGGATAGCTAGTCCTTTTAAGATAATTGGAATTAAAAAATAGAAAAGTAAGAAAAGGAAATAGAAAACCACTATTAAGGCAAATATATAGTAATGATTATCTCAAAAAAATATACTGATGAATGTTAAAATTTATGGGCAGAAATTTTCCAAGAAAAAAAATTTGCATAGTCATAAAATATCTCCCATAAGATACATATTAACAACAAAATTTTAAAAAGTAACTTTATTATAGTGAAAAAAATTCAGCATATACCACCTTAACCAAGTTATCAAGGTATCACAAATAAGACAAATTAACAACATAAACTTCTTGATATGATACACTGAGAAAGACCCATAATTTCTGTGGTATTCTTCCCCTAAAAGCAGAGCCACATTCTAATCATAAGAAAACATCAGACCAATTGAAAAAGAAGAGTATTCTACAATATAACTGCCTAGTACTTTTCAAAAGTGTCAAGGTCCTGAAAGACAAGAAAACACTGAGGAACTCTAATAGATCAGAGAACACTACAAAGACAACAAGGCATGATAACTAATTAGTGTTTTATCCTGAATTGACTCCTAGAGCAGGAAAGGACATTAAAAGGAAAATTAATGAAATTCAAATATGGTAGATAATTATATTAACAGTATTGTACCCATATTATTTCCTGGTTCTGATCATTGTACTACAGTTATATCAGATGTTAACAGAGGAAGTTGAGGATTACCTAGGATTTCTCTCCACTATTTGTGCAGTATTTTGATGTCTAAAATTCAAAATAAAAAAGTTTTAAAAAGACTTCTAGAAAAACTATGTTTATATAGTGACAGAATACAGATTATGAAACCTGTTACCAAGGGTTAGAGAGTGACTGAAAGAAACTAATTTACATGGAAAGCATGTGGAAACTTTTTGTGATGAAGAAAATATCTGTATCATTGAGTGTGTTGTCACATGACAATAAGTTGTCAAAACATTTTTGTTGTACAACTATATCTCAATAAGATGACAAAAAAATTCCAAATGTAAATATGATCTTTAAAGAAAACACGACTGGGTTGCAATCCCAACATAAACAGAATGCAGATGATAAATACCAAATAGGATTATACATGCTCTTACCAGATTAATTAACTGAGTGTGTACCACATCTTCTACCAAAACTGCTGTTTCATGAAGAGGCCTCCTAGCATCACCTAAAGAAAACCTGCAAAAAAAGAAAAAAAAATTAATCACACCAATATTAGGAACTGTAAAATTAAGAAAGGAAAAGGTGAAAAATATTTATTATAATAATATATTTAATAAAGTACAAATCGTTCTCACAAATGACAGAGTGGAGGTACAAATTTTTATGGGCAAAAAACTGCATCTATTCTACACAAGCTGAAAATTCAAAAAAGAATGCAGTATTATCAATGCTATTTCTTGATTTGTGTAAATTTACTATTTCAAAACAAAAAACTAACAACCACTTCATAACACTGGCAACCAGAAAATCATGTTACCATATCCAAATTGTCAAAACAGTAATATATTAATAGCCATAAAGAAAGTTATAATAGTATATAATGTAATTAAAAGTTGCTAAGAAAAATTTATGTGAATACTGTTAAGTTATCATTTCTCATTACACACAAGTTGGTTATCAAGAATGGATTACAAAACTCTTTTTGAAAAGTCCTATTCTTACTTTTAAAATGAACTAGAGAATCACTTCCTGGTAGAGAGCATTCAAAAATGCACAATACTGTATTAAAAACTTATTTTTAAAGCATGCTGTAATCAGCAGTAGGGAAGGGAACACAGAAGTCAGACATGATGAGAAAGTACAGTTCAACATATAAAAGAGCCCTGCAGCCTAAATTTATTCATAGCAACCTATAGCCTGGATTTCAACTAGCATAGTACTCAAGGTATAGGAAAGAATGCAACAAGCAAGGTAGGTTCATTTGCAGAACCTAATATCGAGAAAAGCTGAGAAAAGTTAACAGCCAGATGGTGATAACTTGTCTATAGCACCCAAGGCTATCTATCTATGAAGAGAAAAGCTGTGGTACTGTCCTGAAAGGACAGATAAATAGAAAAAAGAATAGAGAAATGAAAAATAAATCCTTACATATATGATCAATTGATTTTCCATAATGATGGAAAGAACACGTCATTTCAAAAGAAGAGTCTTTTCGATAATTGGTGTGGGGGAATGAACTCAAAATAGATCAAAGACCTAAATTTAAGAGCTACAGCTATAAAACTCTTAGAACAAAGGGGAAACTCATGATCTTGAATTTGGTATGGTTTCTTAAGTATGACACCAAAAGCATAGACAACAAAAGAAAAAATTAATAAATTGGACTGCATCAAAACTGAATCCTTTTATACATCAGACACTATTAAGAGAGTGAAACTCTTCTGTTGTGCTCACTGATATACTCAGTTATTTCATTCTTTGGACTGTGTAAACAAAGTGTCCCTTCCATTACTTTAAGTTACTTCAAATCTCACTACAGAAAAAATGCAAAGTTATCAAAGTGAAATAACTGACTAAAAGATAAAACAGCAAACTCAATTCATAACTCTAGTGAAGAGCTTAAAGTGTTTTTAAAATGTTTTTTACTAGAATTATGAATTGAATTTGCTGTTTTATCTTTTAATCAATCATTTCAATTTGATCACTGTATTTTCTGTAGTGAGATTTGAAGTAGACATACAAATGGCCAACAGATATATGAAAAGATGCTTGACTTCACTAGCTCTTAGGGAAATGCAAATCAAAATCACAAGATATACCTCATACCTGCTACAATGGCTATTATCAATAAGATAAGTAATAAAAAGGGTTGGAGAGGTTGTGGAGAAAAAGGAACTCTCATTCACTGCTGGTAGGAATGTAAATAGGTACGGCCACTATGGAAAACTGTGGAGGTTCCTCAAAAATTAAGAACAGAGTTACCATATGATCCAGCAATCCCTCTCTGGGTATCTATCTGGAAATTTTAAAAATATCTATTCATAAAGATATATGTATCCCTATATTCACTGCAGCATTATTCATGGTGGTCAAGACATGCACAAAACCAAAGTACCCTTTGATAGAGTATTGGATAAAGAAAATGTAGCACATATATACAATGGAATACTAGTCAGCCATAAGAAAGGAGGAATACTGCCATTTGCTACAACATGAATAGATCTTGAGAATATCATGCTAAGCAAAATAAGTCAGATGTGGAAAGTCAAGAACTATATTGTTTCACTCATATATGGGATAGAAACTGAAAACAACAAATGATAGATATAATAATACAAACAAAAACTCAGGCACAGTATGGTGGTTACCACAGGGAACGGGGGTGGGTGGAGGGATGGTAGAGAAGAGTAAAGGGGATCAAATATATGGTGACAGAAGGAGACGTGACTTTGAGTGGTAAACACACAGTGCATGTATCAGATGGTATATTATAGAACTGTACACATGAAACCTATAGAATTTTATTAACCAATGCCACCCCAATATATTCAATAAAATTTTAAAAACTATTTTAATCTCTTTAGGTAAGAAATTACTAAACTTTAAAAAACACATGTTAATAAAACATAAAAATAATTATCAAGCTTTATCCTAAGATTTAATGAGAAGCTAAAACTTTTTTTTACTAAAATAGACATTAGCATAAATACCTCTAAAACCAGCTAAAGACATATAACTAGGGATGGGATTTGATGAGTATATTGTTTTATTTTCAGGGTTATTTATACCTCAACTTTAATTCCAGTTTTTCTCATAGTAGTTCTGTCAATATTTTCCTCACACACAGAAAACAAGATACTGCCATAGTAGTTTTTGGGAAATGGAAATAAAAACCACCACACCTAGTCACAGCCACTTCCTTCTTGCTTGGCAACGTACGTAATATTTTTACATCACTTAAAGACAAAATCCAAGTAATTAACACTTACAAAATCTTTTGATTATTTTCTCCTCTGAAAGATCTACTTTACCACTCATCGATGCTTTGACTGACGTGTCCTGGGTCTTGTCCCAACTAGTAGAGTCTGATACTCAATTCCGTCACATAATGCCAGATGCCTGTAATGACACCTGCACTGTTAGACCAGCTTCTATTAAAGGTCCTTCAGGAAAATTTCCTGAAAGGGCTCCCACTTCCCTGGTCTCCCACAGTAGCTTCTTGCTGTTACACACAGCCTCCATTTTAGAAAGGACTATTGCTTTGATAACTGTGGTCACAAGTAGCAGGTCCAAAGCAATCCTGCTGAACTCCACACAATGATGATAGTAGCAGAGCCATTACACCCTATCTTCTGACCCAAACAAGGCTGGTGTTAGTGAGTCCCAGGAAGAAATATCTCACTGATCACTGGGAAGCTAACTGCAATTCTCTGTCTAGTGCAAAATGAAAGTAGGAAATGAGCAAGATTACTGATGAGGTAAAGTTACACTACTCATTCTGTATACTTATACTAAGATATGGGCAGATGCATGTTCAAAAAAACCATGAGCTACTGTTCCAAAAAGCCTGCAGAACTTACAACTAAGCCATTCACTATTTTTGTATGTTATATGTATGCCCAACAGAGTCTAAAATTGAGAGATATCCTTTAAATAGACACCCAATAAGGTAAGATATCTAATAACAGAAAGTACAGAATAGAAAAAAGAAAAACTAATTAGGGATATATCCAATATACAGAAAACAAATTTTTTAAAATATACCCTGAATATTACTATCAGCACTGTGCATCCTCAAAAAACAACCAATCTTTATTTCAGTTGTTTATAACATCAGCTTTATTCTTATCCTTTTTATTGAATTTATTGGAGCAACACTGGTTAACGAAATGTACAGGTTTCGGGTGCACGATTTTACAAAATCTGTACACTATACACTGTATTGTGTGTTCACTACCCCAAGTCTAACATTAGCTTTAAAAAATGTTTTTTTTTAAATGGAAGGAAAAAATTACTTTATTCAATGACATGAGAAGACCTTTTTCTCTCATATATATATATATGAAAGAAAAATACAAACACACACCCCCCACACACATAATTATTAGCATTACCAACTGTTCCAGTTTGCCTGGGACTAGAGGGATTTCCAGATAATTCTCTACCAAATAAATCAGCCTAATTAATACTGAAAGGTCATGATTTACTTTGCCCAAGAAAAGGGCAAGCCAGGAAAGTTTCTTTTAAGAGAAAGAATGAATGAATAAAAGTTGTATATTTACTTTCACACAATTTACCCTTAGTATTTCAGTTCCAGGGTCTCAAAATAGAGAAACAAATAGCACATGGGGAATTTAGCCATTCATTTGTAGATAATTCTGTGAAGTTGAGGATGAGGTTTATGATAGTCAGTGGGTGAGGAGAAGCTACCAGCTGAATCTCTCTGCAGTCACTGCCTCTACTCAAGAGAAGCAACAGCACCCTGCTGAATAAGGGGCCAGAGATGTGAGCCTAGAAAAACAGATACAGTTCAATGGCCATGATCCACTAAGAAGACTACAATAGGCAGCTAGGAAGTCCCAGGTACATCCTAGCCATGCGCTCCGAAAAGGGGGAGTCAGTTACAATGAAAAGAAATCAGACTACAAGTTAGATAACCTGGTCCTAGTTCCCATTCTGCTGCCAAGTAATACTGTAACCTTGGGTAAATAACTTTTCTGGGTACCTCAGTTCCTCAGAAACGAAAGGAGGGTATTGGATTAGATGACTTTGAAGCTACCTTTTCAACTGCAAAGCTATAGTAATCAAAACAGGATGGTACTGACAATTTTTAAAAAAAGACATAAATCAATGAAACACTATGAAGAACCCAGAAATAAACTCACATATATATGGTCAATTGATTTACAACAAAAAAGACAAGAATATACAACGAAAAAAACGACAGTCTCTTCAATAAATGATGTTGGGAAAACTGGACAGTCATACGCAAAATAATGAAACCAAACTACTATCATACACTCTACACAAAAATTCAAAATGGAGTAAAGATCTGAATGTACCTGAAACCATAAACTCCTAGAAGAAAACACAGGCATAAAACCTCCTTGACATTGGTCTTGGCAATGACTGTTTTGGTTCTGACACCAAGAGCAAAGGCTAAAATAAAGAAGTGGGACTACATCAACAAAAAAGCTTCCGCAGAACAAAGGAAATAATCTACAAAATAAAAAGGC